GTTCCACTGGTTAATTGTTCTAACAGGAATTTTCCCCTTAATTTCAGGTCTCTTTGATCTGTTTCCATCCGTCGCTTCTTGTCCTGCCTTCCGGCGCTTTGGAGAAGAGCTTGACTCCCTCTTCTTTGTGGCAGCCCCTGAGATACTGGAAGGCTGCTATCCTGTCCCCCCTCGTCCTTCTCTTCATTAAACTAGACATACCCAATTCCAGCAGCCGTTCCTTATATGTTTCAGCCTCCAGTCCCCTGATCATCTTTGTTGCTCTTCTCTGCACTCTTTCTAGAGTCTCAGCATCTTTTTTACATCGTGGTGACCAAAAGTGGATGCCGGATTCCAAGGGTGGCCTTACCAAGGCCTTGTAAAGTGGTAGTAACCCTTCACCTGATCCTGATTCTCTCCCTCTGTTGATGCAGCCTAGAAGAACTGTGATGGCCTTTTTGGCAGCTGCAGAACAGGGCTGGGCTTAAAATAATAATAATAATAATACTAATAATAATGATGATGATGATGATGATGATGATGATGATGATGATGATGATGATAAAGTTGGAAGGGACCTTGGAGGTCATCTAGTCCAACCCCCTGCTCAGGCAGGAAACTCTATACCATTTTGGACAAATGGCTGTCCAGTTTCTTCTTAAAAACTTCCAGTGTTGGAGCATTCACCGCTTCTGGAGGCAGGTGGTTCCACTGGTTAATTGTTCCTTCCTTCCTTCCTTCCTTCCTTCCTTCCTTCCTTCCTTCCTTCTTTCCTTCCTTCCTTCCTTCCCTCCACTCCACACACGCAATTCCCTTGTAGCCCGGATGATGCTCCCTGGTTGAGCCGGAGACAAATTCACGAGGACCCTCCCAGTCCTCGTCCTCCTCTTCCTCCTCCCTCTTCTCCTCCTAGCACTGATGATGTCACCTAGTTGGGTCACGAGACGTCTGCAAAGGAGACCCCCCCCCAGCTCAGAGAGCACCAGGGACCCCCTACAGTCCTTCCTTCCTCCTCCTCCTCCTCCTCCTCTCCATAACCAGGGCTGGCCTTAAAGAGCTGGACGGGTCCTCTGTGAAACCAGTGCCACACACACACACACCCAGCTTGACCTTTGCCCTCACTGGGGGAATGGGGGGGGGGTCCTACCTGCATTGAAAAAGTTGCAGGTTCCCTGTTCCCCCCCACACACACAAAGCCTGCTCTGGACCTAGCAGTGTAG